TTGAATAAAATACTCCAAACAGTTATTAAACTTTATTTACAGAAGAAATCAACTATTATTAGTTATTAAACTTTATTTACAGAAGAAATCAACTATTATTAGTTATTAAACTTTATTTACAGAAGAAATCAACTAATCGTTTATTTCCAGTAAATTCGCACTAACGCAACAATTAACTTTTAAATCTTTCAAAATCTATCGCTATGACAACGTCAACAAACAATTCAAATATCGCTTTAAATAATTCACCGAATCGCTATTCACAAAATCACGAATTTCACTAATCACGAATATCACTAATCACGAATATCACTAATCACGAATATCACTAATCACGAATATCACTAATCACGAATATCCCAATCACGAATATCACCAATCACGAATATCCCAATCACGAATATCACCAATCACAAATATCTTGCGACGTGCGCTTATATACTCTTCGCAAGCGTCGTTTCTAGATTCTTCCCGATGGTCCGATTCCAGCATACTCTAGAACGTTCCAGTCACTAGAACATTCTAGAATACGCTAGAATCTAGTGCGTTCGGTAGCACGGTTATAACAATACTTTAAGTAACACTTCACCATCAAATATTTCACAGAATTTATTAAAAATAAATCATCATTTTTATATAACAATTATTTTATCACTGTATTAAATTAGCCAATCATTTTGTATCTATTTATTAATTAATGTAGACAACATAACATTCATTTCATCATAAATCATTGATATCATCATCATGATCGTTAACATCGTCGTCGTCACCATTGTCGTATTAACCATCGCCATCATCATCATCGTTATCATTTTAACTATCACAACCATCATCAGTACCATCATCAGCACCATCATTATCCAAATCACCGTTCAGTGTTTCCACCACCACCACCACCACCACCACCATCATCACCACCACCATCACCGATTTCTCAATCTTCGTCCACATCATAGTAACCGGAAGTGATCATCAATCATTGAAGCTTTCAAATAATTTTTCTCACTGCAAACGCAACTCTGCTCACAAAAAATTTCCTAAAACACACGCACACACCCACACATACACACAAGCTACACACACCCACACACACACACTACACACACACATGTGCTCACACATACAAGCAATAAACACACTCAAACAAAACGTCGTACTTTCTAAAATTCAAATTTTTTCAACAACTCTTATTAAAAAAAATTTGATGGAAAAGAGGGTTGATGAAAAAAAAACTTGTTAAGAGAATGACGAAAAAAAGAAAGAAGGTTTTTTTTCGCAGCCATCCGGTAGTCATGCAAATATAAGGCAGTGGAGTGGAAAAAAGTTATCACTGTTACTTTCGTTGTTGTTGATGCTGGTGATGTCGTTGTCGTTGCTGTCGCTAATGTCATTGATTTTGTTGTTGCTATAGCTTCTTTGCTGGTTTATGGTGCTGGTAGTTTTACTGATTTTGGTATAGTTTTTGTGTTAACAATTTACTGAGTCGTTAGGTGAATTTTTGGTTGATTATTTTAACGTGACTGTCGTTAGAGTGTAATAAGATCAATTTTACTATTGATCATGAAACAAGCATCCACGCACACTCACAAACACACATATAAACACTGACACACACACACACACATAGACACACACACACACACACAGACATATATATATCCACACTTTCTGACAGAAACACACACAGACGGAGCAAACTTGTTACAGCACTGCAATACGAATGAAAGTGAAGGAGAGTCTTGAAGTGAATTCATTTGAGACATTTCTTAGGTGTGAGTAACTAAATGAACTATGGCGATATTTTTTCAGCGTTAGCACCACCGCTGTATTTGAAAGGTAACATATTGCATGCAGTCAACGCCTTGATCATTATTTAGAAACATAGGTTACCTTCAAATTTCATCACAAATGATGACAACAACATGTTCACTCACCATCATCTCAAATGATAACAACCACATCAGCAGCAGCAGCAAGTACCAACCTTGTTCCTGTCCCACCCCGGTGTGGACAGTGGTGTTCCCACTGCCCCCGAGACACCTCTCCACGCCATGGTCCCTTCTAGCCACCCCACCACCACCGACTCCACACCCACCACTACCCGCATGGAGTTTCCTGCCACTGTTACAGCTCTCTCTCCTTGGTACAAAACTGACATCTACTTCGGCTTTTGCATGTCTTCTTGTCATCTCACCTCCAGGACCACCCCTACCACCGCTACTACCACTACTACCACCGACATCACCACTGCCACCACCACCACCACCACCACTCATTGACGTAATGTGACTTCGAACGGCTGCATGATTTGGTCTGCCGTTCCTTTCTTTCGAGTGATTTTTTGGCCTCACTGCCTCCACTGGCAGGACTCGCCTTCGTTTCTTGGGCAGTTTCGCCCTGGCCTGCGTGTGCGAGTAGAAGAGTGCGAAGTTGCTGACGATGACAGGGACAGGCAGGGCAATGGTTAGCACCCCGGTGAGAGCACACAACGACCCAACAAACATTCCTAAGTATGTTTTCGGAGTCATATCACCATAACCTACTGTTGTCATTGTGACGATGGCCCACCACAAACCTACAGGTATTGAAGTGAAGTTGTTGTCGGGGTTGTACTGTATTCTTTCGGCATAGTAGACCAGGGATGCGAAAATGACGATGCCGATAATAAGGAAGAAGATTAGGAGCATTAGTTCGTGGGCACTGGCTTTGAACGTATGGATGAGAATTTTGAGCCCTGGCGAGTGTCTTGTCAGTTTGAAAAGTCTTGTAATTCTTATGATGCTGAAAAATTCTAAAAAATCATTTTCCTTCTTCAGCCTCGTCATCAGAAAGTCTAAGTAGAAAGATAAAGTTGCTACAAAATCTACCACGTTCACTGGAGCTCTCAGAAAAACCAGTTTAACTGGACTCACTAGAAACCTCATGATAAGTTCGAAGGTGAACCACGCGTTACAAACGCACTCCACGTAAAAAAATGCATCGTGTGGGTCTAACGTTTTCTTTTCTAACATAAAATATGGCCGTCGTTGTTGTTTTTTGTTGTATTGTTGTTGTCGTTGCTGTTGTTGCTGGTAGTAATGCTGTTGTTGATAGTACTGTTGCTGCTGCTTGTGATAGTAATTTTTCTGCTGATGATATTTTTGCTGCTTTGAAAATTTTGTTAGCGGAGTTGAAGTTGTTGACTTTGTTGAAAAATGTCGTTGGCTTGGTGTCGCGTTTGCCGCAACTGCTTTATCCAACACAGTACCCGAGTCATCAAGACCGTCGTAATCGTCGTAAGCGTTGTAGTCGAGGAGGAATGGTTTGGTGTAGTTGAAGGCAATGGAGATGTTCCTGACGGATGGAACTCGAAGAGAGGGATGGGTCTTCAGGCAGAAGGTGAGTATCGAAGCGATTATGAAGAAGATCGAGATGATTGCCACCACCTGTCAATTGGAATTTTTCTTTGTGGTAATTTTAGTCCAATAATTACATTTATATAATTTAAAGTTAAAAAATAGATAAAAATAAGTGGATTGTATTAAATTTTTATTCTTAGAATTTAATAAATAGTACGCAGAATATGTTTTTGTTGTTGTTGTTAAAATTATTTCAGAATTTTTTTTAATGGTTAAAATTTTGTTCATAATTTAAAACAATTTTAGAAAATACATATTCGTCCCATAAAAACAACTGTCGCTAAAATAATTTACGAAGATGTAGATGTTGATCGAATGAAGAGTTTTGGTAGGAATTACGCTGGATAAAAACAAATTTCGTGATATAACTACTCGCTGAAATAAAAGAAGAATAAAAATTATAACGTTTCCACCACATATATCTTACTGTTTCATCCAGACTAATCTCTTCATTCATTCTCTCCACTTATTTATTTCTCTCTCCCGCCAAAGTCGACACGAATTAATTGTCCACTGAGGCTGGCGTTAACACAAGCGAAACAAAAAAACCGCAGACGCGATAATAGTGGCCTTACTAACCGTAGTAGCTACACTAGTGGCCGTAGTAATAGTAGTAGCTACACTAGTGGCCGTAGTAACAGTAGTAGCTACACTAGTGGCCGTAGTAACAGTAGTAGTGCAGTAGTGGCCGTAGTAACAGTAGTAGTGCAGTGGTGACCGTAGTAAGAGTATTAGCTACAGCAGCAGTATCAGTAGTAGCAGTAGTTGTAACATTAAAAGTATCAGCAGTAATAGCAGAGTTAAGAACTACTACAGCAGCGACAACATTGCAATGGAAACAAAGTAGCTACACGTTTAAAGATGTAAACAACAGCAGAAGCTGCCTGCTGTTGTTTAGTCTTTCGCTTGTCTACCCGTGGGTCCTTCCATGTCTTATCTACTCCACTGTCCTGCTTTGTTCTGGTAGCTTGTTTATGCGCTAAGTATTTTTTTGTCCCCTCTGTTTTTTTTTGTGCATAAACATATGTGGGCGCTTAAAAAAGCGTTTTTGTTGGTGTTTTGTTGTAGGTCTTTGCAACATGTGAATTATGTTTTAAAAAAATTTTTGTCTGGTTTATGAGCATAGCTACATAAAAAAGTACATTTTTGCATGAAAACAAATAGCAAACAACGCGAATGTTTTTGTTAAAAAAATTCAAGACTGAGTTTGTTGTAGTTTAAACAAATTTTGAAATTAAATTTTCAGTTTAGGTTTAGGTGTACAGATGCTTTTGTAGGCATTCAATTTGCATGCTATATTGTGTTCGATTTTTTGTTTGTGCTACTTGTATGAATATGCAGGTGTATGTATATGTCTGACTTTTAGTATGTATTTATGCATGTATTTATGTATGGTTGTACGTATTTTTTTGTATTTGTGTACGTATTCATGTATGTTTGTACGCCTATAAGACATCGCATGTGATTCCTATGACTTTTCCCACAACATCCTAAACAACTTCTTCTTCAGCCTCATAAATCATTAATTTTTCGCAATTTTTCATTTTCATCGTGATTTATTTCTTTCATTTATACTTCAAATTTCACTTGTTTGCTTTATTTACTTTAATTTTTAAATAAATTACTAATTATGTCATCAAAATTTTTAAAACAAAAATTCATTAAATAAACTTGAGATCGTTGTTTGTCTGTATTTAAAATAGTAAGGACAAAAATATATACGCAAAACGCAAAAAATTCACGCAAAAACACACAAAAATGTACACACAAGAACAGATACGCAGACAAACGTCCAGACAACCAAACGTATTTGCACGTACACACACGTACTTGCACGTACACACACACACACACACAGATACACATATTTCTATTGGACATCTTTTTAAGCTTCTACTGCTTGAGATGTCTGCTGCTGGGGTGAAGAGATGCGAGTTATGATGGAGGAATAAAGATAGAATGAAGGGAGAACCATAAACAAATGAATGAATACAATAATTGCTGTTGGAAACAGTGAGACGATAAATACGTGATGAAAGCTTAGTGATAAAAATTGGCTCAAGCCTACCAGTAAATTTTTTAAATTTGTTTGTTGGGTTTTTTTAATATTATAAAAAAAAGAAAAAAGAAATTTCTCTGAAAACATGGCAAAATACGTTAGGAAAACTACTTCAAAATGGACATCTAAATAAATAATAAATGATTTATGACATCAATATATTTACACAAACAACACTAACAACACTAACACCAACATGTAGTATGTATGAACAACATGCAACAACATTAACACTGAACAACATCAAAGAGGCTTCCAAGATCGTGAAGACTTCAAACGTGACCTGAGCAAGCACACTTCAGCCGCAACCATTACCGCTATTTAAAATAACAAGAAAAACACTCATAGTTTAATAAAAAAACATATCAATAGATTACACCACATAAAACTAAAACAGTTTAAACAAGTTTCAATAACAAACAACGTCAGGATTCAAACTAATCTTAATTAGATTAAATTTTTATCACTTATTATATATGTTGCAAGTGAAAGTTGACAACGAAGTAAGCTGTTTTGTGAACAAATTATATTTGTAAGAAAAAATCATTTGCTATCAAAAACACAATCATCAACAACGATATCACTACAGTTACTATACTATTATTACTACCACTACTCACTACTGCCGCTGCTGCAATCGCCACATTATAAACAACAACCAACCAACGCCATCTGAAAAAAATCAGTAGCCAAAAACAAGAAGGAGAGCGGGAAAGAGAGCGTGAACAGGAGAAGCACATGCAAAGCATGGAGGTAAGATGAAAGGAGATGGCATAAAATATTTATACCAGTCAAACGCCATAAACGATGCTGCTATTTCCACAGCAAATCCTGCCGTTGCACGCTTTTTATTACCAACATTAACTGCTCAGTTCAGCTTTTGATCCTGAGAACAATTTATTTTGTACAAGAAATCGTCTATATATTTTTGTCTAAACTAGATTCTGGCTTTTTCAAATGTTTGCTCTACAAATCTTCATGAAACAGATTTTGTTTGCTCTTCTGAAAAATAAAAAATAAGACAAAACAAAAACTTCTGTTGGCATATTGATGACGCGAAAATGTGGCCAGTATAATAAAATGGACATTAAAATTCATCATCGCTGTTTTGTCAAAATTATACAATTATACATGATTCATTGGTATTTTTCATTGCATCAGCGTTAAAAATGTGGCAGCACTGTTTCTTCCACACACTCTTCTTCGTCATCATGTTTTTCAGCATCATCACGGTCATCATCATCGTCATCATCATCGTCATCATCATCGTCATCATCATCGTCATCATCATCGTCATCAACAATTCCAGTCATTCATCATTTTGGCATTTCAAATTTTGTAAATTAACCCCATTTCAAAGGAAACCAAACATTTGCTTGAAATGAATTAGTTTAATGACATCAACGAAACTTCAAAACAACATTATTACTACCATCAACAACAAAACAACGATGACGTCATCAGCAGCAGTAGCATCAACAGTATCTCAACAACAGTGGGGCAAAATTTTTAAAATTTTGAAATTTGTCGGTGGGGTCAAAAAAATGACCAAATATTTGCAAGTGTACTAAATTTTATTGGCTTTTAATGAAAACTTTACACAAAAAATTGAGAACGATAAACCAATTAATATATCAGCATGAACAACAAAAATCAACAACAACAACATCAACAATGACATCAACAACAGTAACATCAGAAAATTATTATCAACAACAAAATTTTTGATATTTTCTTATTTTGATAATAAAAAAGATTACATAACAAAACGCCGAAAAACAATCAATTCATTGTTACATTACCATTGAAATAATAACGCAATCACTTAGTTATAACTGTTAAAACATCAAGATTAAAAACTTTAACTGCACTAAACTTTTTTTCCTAACACAACTAAGACAAATTCTGTTACTAAAATTACTAATATTAACATTACATCAACTTTTTCAATGTTACTGACCACAAAAAATACTCCAATTAAAAAGAACCACTTCAAAAAAACCACAAAAGCACGTCTGAATTCATAATGCAACCACGCGTCAGCAGTGACACCTACATCAAAAAAATCTTTAAACACAGAATAATTGTCGAAATCGACATGAAAAAACGCTACAAAACGAAACATGTATGAAAATGTATGTACGTGAATGTGTGTATGTTTGTGTGTATGTGTGTGTATGTATGTATGTATATATATATATATATATATATATATATAATTTTTTTTATTGTATCAACAAAAAACAAAAAATAACAAACAACTTGCCAATACAAAGTCAAATTAATATTTTCAAAACATTAAAGACAATATATAAAAATAATTAATAAAACACTAACAATGGCGACAACAACAACAACCAAAACAACAACATCAACAACAGCCAAAACAACAACAACGATGACAACAATAGGTACGTCCAATAACAAGTCATTTACCATTTTAACACAACAATAAAATTCACTACAACTATCACCACAACTTGGAACAACAAAAAGCTAGAAAAAATAACACTTACTACTACTACTACTTAGTTTGCAGCAGCTACTACTACTACTGCTACAATTTTTGCTGCTGCTGTTACTTCTACCACAACTACGTTTTTTACTTAACAAGAGAAAAAGAGTGCGTGAAAGGCCAGTTGTGCTCTCTTCAGGTACTCAAATTCGAGACCGACCAGTTTATTAAATCACATTACATCACATTACATCACGTTATATCACATTATATTACATTAAACGATATCACATTGCATTTTGCTGTTGACTTTTCTGATGAAAAACAATGTTGATGAGTTCTTATGTATGTATGGGTGTTATGTTTCTCATGATTTTTAATGATAATCATCGCCTACTACAAACGTCAATGTTAATGCTAATAATTTAATGTTTTTTCACAATGATTTCGACAAAAGTGTAAATATTTAGTTTTTTTTATAATTTTTGGTAAGTTCAATTTCAATCACATTCACCC